CATTCTTCGATAACTTCACATTTCAAAGTTAATGAGTCTTTTCTCCCTCGCCTCTGTAATTGCCCAGGACTCAACTCCATATAACAGGACAGAGAACACGTAGCATCGCAATACTCTAGTTCTAATTTCAATGTTGAATTTTACATCGCATAATATTGCTTTCATTTTGTTAAAAGTACTTCTAGCTATCCGAATACACCGTTTTATTTCTGCACTTCTACTCCATTCTTCATTTAGTGCGCAACCTAAGTATTGATATCTGTGCATCCTGCCTAAAAGTTTTCCTTTAGCATAAACAATGTCTTCCTTAATCTTGTTCTTGCTTACCACCATGATTTTTGGTTTATTTGTATTCAGTGCCATTCCACAACTTTCGCAGTATTGGGTAATGCGATCAACCAAGATCTGTAGTCCTTCTCTGCTGTCCGCAAGGAGTATTGGGTCATCTGCGTATCTAAAATTTAACAGAAGTGCTCCGTTAATAAAGATGCCTTCATTTACGTGTTCTAATGCCTCTTTAAACAATTCTTTTGAATACATATTAAAAAGTAAAGGGGAAAGAACACATCCTTGTGTTACTCCACGATTTATAGGTATTTCTTTCGATATTTGTTGGTCTATTCGTATTATGATTTTCTGGGTAAATAATAAGTATATATCTGAATAATGTGTGTGGGTAAATGATAAGTTTATATCGAAATTGTACATGTGTGTTGTGTTGTGTATTTATGTGCGGATTTGGGTAAAGATTTTATTTATTAAGTTATTATAGCAGGAGGTAGATATGGCGTACACATACAATATGTTGGATAAATGGTTAAGATAACGGATAGTGTCACTCCTCTTTTCAGGGAAGACATTAAAAAGGATCATGGAAGTGAAATTGTCCAAGGAAAGGTCATAGGAAGTGATTTGTTTGGGTGAGTGTAAAGGTTGAGTTTGTTTTGTATTTTTGGGTCGTATTCTGCGGTGTAGATATTTTTGTGAGCATGTGGGGGGGCTTCCATTACAGTTGGAACATTTTGGATCAGATATCCAGGGACATGCATGTTGTTGTTCACAGAATGGACAAATAAATGATTTTTTGTGCATTCGTTGCTGAGATGTCCGCTTTTGCAACATTTCGAACAAATTTCAGTCAAACCGGAACGGAATTGCTTGATTTTGGAACCTCACAATTTAGCCGTTCTTCTTCGATTTTGATGCCGTTCAAAAGTGCATCAGCAAATTTAGTTTTTGAGTTTGTAAAAACTCTGATATAAGAGGTGGGTTTTTTTGTGGAGCGGATAATTATGCGAACTATTTTAGTGAAAGGAAATTTTTTTCGGATAAGTTATCCTCGATGATTTTCTGGGATAATTTTTTGTCGACGCCGGCAATGACTACTTATATTCCCATATCTGACAGAGTAATGCTAGTAAAATTTAGTTCAAAGCCGTTCATTACCAACGTAATTCAGGTCTATGCCCCAACATCATCTAGTGATGAAGAAAAATTAGAAGCATTCTACAAAGATCTTACTGATGCTCTAGATCTTGTCAAAGCAGCAGAAAATACCATAGTCCTCGGAGATTTTAACGCTAAAGTCGGCAAAGGACGCTGTTTGAACATTGTGGGGGAATATGGCTTGGGAAACAGAAACGAACGTGGAGATCGACTTGTCCAGTTCTGTCAAGAACACGATTTCATTATATCGAATACCCATATTAAACTACCACCGAGAAGACTCTACACCTGGAAGTCAAATGCAGAATCAGAGGACAAAATTATTAGGAATCAAATCGACTTCATTCTAATAAAAAATCGATTTAGAAACTGCATCAAATCAGTTAAAACTTATCCAGGTGCTGACATTGGGTCCGATCACAATCCCATAGTAGCTGTAACCCAATTAAAATTAGAAAAGGTGATCAAAAAGAAGTCTCGCAAAAAGATTGATACAGCCCAACTACAAGACGAGAAAGTTAAGGAATCAGTTCAAAGACAACTGAACGAAAATTTAATTTGGGAAAATATTGGTGAAAACGTCGATGAGGGCTTAAATAAAATCGTAACGACAGTAAAAGAAATCTGTGTGAGAAATCTACAAGGCAGGTCAAAGCCAAAAAAGCAGGCTTGGATGACAGATGATATACTGGATTTGATGGAACAACGGCGACTAGCAAAAACCAACGAAACACTTTACAATAGCATACAAAAAGAAATTCGACGTAAAATACGAGAAGCAAAGAGTCAACATCTAGCCAAACAGTGCCATGACATTGAAGAAGTCGAAAAAAGATACGACACGTTTAACATGTATAAAAAAGTAAAAGAAGCGGCTGGTATCTTCAATAAGAAACAAAATGCATTGCTACAGGATGAAAATGGTAAAGTAATATTCGAAGTAGAGGACAAACTTAAAGAATGGGAAAATTACGTCACGAACCTATTCGAAGACGATAGGAGTAGTTCACCTCCCGATATTACTAACTGCGACGGACCCCTAGTAACACGCTGTGAGGTTACAAAGGCCATACAATCATCAAAAGATGGCAGAGCGACTGGTCCTGATGAAATTCCAACTGAAATATATAAGCTTATAAAGGATAGCAATGTTTTAGAGGCTATAACTTCGTTTTTCAATACCATTTATACCAGCGGACAACTACCTAATGGTTGGTCTAACTCACTGTTTATAGCTCTATCTAAGAAGACAACAGCAAAAACTTGTGCTGATTATAGAACCATCAGTTTGTTAAACCACTTATTGAAATTTTTCTGAAGGTAATACATGGTCGTATCTACAATAAATGTGAGGAATACCTGAATGACACTCAGTTTGGTTTCCGTAACGGATTTGGAACGAGAGAGGCACTGTTTGGAATGAACGTACTTGCTCAAAGATGTCGTGATATATCTGTAGACATATACTGTTGTTTTATTGACTTTCAAAAGGCATTTGATCGTGTTAAGCACTCTATATTGATCCAAGCTCTAAAAGACATTGGCTTGGACGGCAGAGATGTTCGAATAATTGCAAATTTATATTGGAATCAAACAACATCAGTTTTAGTAGATGGTGTGGAATCACAAGCTCTCAATATTAAAAGAGGAGTACGGCAGGGATGCCTCTTGTCACCCCTGCTTTTTAACGTTTACTCAAAGAATTTTCAGAAAAGCACTTTCTGAAAAACAAGAAGGAATACTTGTGAACGGCGAAGTCATCAATAATTTGCGATATGCGGACGATACAGTACTCCTAGCTTCTAGTCAAGAAGATCTGCAAACACTACTTGATAGTGTCGTTTAGAGTTGTAGGGAGGCAGGTCTGGATCTTAACATAAGGAAAACCAAAATACTCGTAATAAGTAAACAACAGAATATAAAACCGTCTATATATGTAAATAATATCAAACTTGAGCAAGTTGATAAAATCGTCTACCTTGGACAGCAATTAAATTGTAATGCAGAAAATCACGGCGAAATTAGATCCAGAATAGAGCAGGCTAGAGCTGCTTTTAGAAGGATGTCCAAGGTGTTATGTAACAGAGACCTAAAATTGGCATTAAGGATCCGCCTACTTCGCTGCTACGTGTTCTCGGTCTTACTTTATGCTGTCGAGTCCTGGACTGTGAATAAAATCGATCTAAATCGCCTTGAGGCTTTCGAAATGTGGTGCTATAGAAGAATTTTAAAAGTTTCCTGGGTGGAGAAGATTCGTAACTCCACAATACTAGAACGTCTCAGCAAGACTACTGAGATCATAAAAAGCATCAAGCAGAGAAAGCTGGAATATTTCGGTCATGTAATGAGAGGTCCCAAATATAGATTGCTACAAAACATCATGCAAGGAAAAATAGCAGGCAAACGCAGTCCAGGACGAAGAAGAACCTCATGGTTGAAGAACTTGCGAGACTGGTATGATGTAGATACAAGCATACTATTTAGGGTGGCAGCGAATAAAATTAAAATAGCTATGATGGTAACCAACGTTCTGAAAGGACATGGTACATGAAGAAGAAGAAGGCAATAACTAGATGAAAGATTTGTGGATCATTTGGAACGGGTTGCGGGTGGGGGAGTATTTGAGTTTGAATCCTGAGTTTATTGGGATATTGTTATCTCGAGTGATTTGTGGTAATTTTGCTGTGAGGTCTTTGAGGCCTAGAAGTTTAATAATTCGCAATGAAGCTGCCTTTTGAGATGGAAAGACTTTAATTGAGTTTAAGTGAGGGATTAGGTTGTGGTCTTTGATGCGTCGGTAAAAAGGTCTCTGCTGACAGATATCTGGGGGATGTCCTGAATTCTGTAATTTCGGATCGTGTGTGCTGGTTGTTGTGTGTTTTGTGTTTTGGGTTGTGTGTTAACTGTTTGTGATTGTGTGAGTATTGTTTGTTGAAGTGTGGTGCATGTATATGTGGGTGTGTGTATGGGTGACGGTGTTAGTTACAGTTAGTTAGATATATTATTAGCAGCATGTGTTTGGTAATCTATGGCTTCTAGTGACCCTTAGATTTGTAGGTTATTGTGCTTCTCTGTTTATGTTTGTTGGAGTTTTGTCTGTTAATTTGCGGTATGTCTTTTGTTACAATTCCATTTGAATTGTACAGCCAATGTAGTTTGCTGGATGGTTTCCCAAACAATTTACGCACTTTACCATGTTTTCTTTTACTTTTCTTGGGTACTGCCTAGTTTGGTCTGGTTCTGTGCATTTTACACATCTAAAACTGGGTCAACAGAAATTTTTTGTGTGACCACATCTCTGGCAAGGAGTGCATTGAGGTATGCATGGGTTCAAATATTACATACTTGTTTCGGAATGTTAATGCCAAAGGAATGTTCCAAATAATGGTTAAAAAATTATGGTTTAATCCCATATAAACATAATATTTAACTTAGACATCCCACAGGAACACAGTTCAGAACATTTTTACTATTATGGCAATATAAAAATCTTCCATAACTTCAGTTGATAATCTCACTAAACTTGTGGTAAATTATATATTTTTCTTTTTCAGCTGAATATTTACAGAAATACAACTGCAAAGCTTCAGACCCCGATTATGAAAAATGCGTGTTGAAAGGTTTTCAAGATGCAAGGCCTTTTTTCTTAAAAGGAATTCCAGAATTAGGATTTCCAGCTTTGGAGCCGTTCCGAGTTCAAAAGTTTGCTGTTAACAGTACAATTAGTAATTTGGTAAAAATAGATGCTGTCTGTGAAAATGCTGAAATTACAGGATTGGCCAATACAGTCATTCAAGATTTAAAGTAAGTTATACAACTGTAATATAAAAAGGTGCAAAGCTTATAGTACAGTATTCACCAAAATGAACCTTGTACTTATTTTCTAATTCACATAATTTACATGTTTAAAATGTGCATAATTACGGCACACACAAGCTTCATAACGATTTTGCAGATGATCAACATATTTATAAAGGGTGTTTGCTGTAGCTGTTGAAAACAGGTTGTCGTAATTTTCCAATGTCTGCTACTGGAATTTCTTTGTATGCATTAAGTGTTGTTTTGTATGGCTTGTTGCTCTATACTATTGAAACCATTTCATGTGCATCTGCAGATTTCATCCGCAGCAAAATTTTCGTATTTTTTTTAACAAAAGGTGTAATAATATTTTCTCTGTAACGCTTTTGGTTAACGATAACTGGATGCTCGTTCTCATCTTCAACAAGATGACCAATAATCTCATGCCCAGACACAGCAGCACTGCAAATGGTAGCTCGTTTACTGTGAAGTCAATAAGTGGGCATTCAAATTCCAGAAATCGAGTTGTTTGTCGATTCATATAATTAGAGAGCGGAATATTAGGCCAGGAAAATAAGCAAAATGTTGTTATGATTCCATAAAGGGCAATATTTTTAGAATTTGTTACATGAAAATTATAAAGTATATTCCTGTTATAAACAAAGCTGCTGTGAATTAAATAAAAAAAGCTAACTTTGTCCAATTTATTGTAGGACAAATTCTTTCTTTTAAATTTGTGAAAAAATTCATGCTTTTTAAATATAAAAAAATAATATTCTTACAGGTAATGGGTAAAAAGTTATTCTAATTGTTTATAAGCAAAAAATCGACATGTTTTTGCTAAATTATTTTGCAGTATTTAAAATAAATTTGTTTAATTTTTTTTAATGAAAATAATAGCATTTCTTCTTCCAGAAACGGGCCTTTTAATTACTAAAACTATATAATTTTTTGACTCATATCGTTGCAAAAAAAATTAATTTGGCTAAACAAATAAAATAACTTTTAAACTATTTGACCGTTTACTTTGAAATTTTGACCACATTTTAAGTACTAAAAGACACAACATTCCGTGAAATATAAATGTTATAAGTTTATTTTTGAAAAAGTTATTAACATTTATGAAAAACCGAATTTTAAAACTATTTTGCAACTTCCTAAGCAACAAATACGGATAGAAATATTTAGAAAACGCCATTTTAAAGTTTTTTATGTGACTAATGAGTTTCTTCTCTTCTAAAATTTATTTCAAATGCTTTACTTTTTGCTGATTTGTGAAAAAAGCAGAAAATTTCCGTTTTTGACCTTAATTTGTTAATAACTAATTAAGTCCAAAAAATCGACAGAGGTCCATACTACTCAAAACAACTGTCGTTTGCCTGGCCGGACGAGTATCATGAAAAAATGCTTATTTCCCTGTCTTTTTTGCCTAAATATGAAAATGGAGAAATTAAATATTCAAAATTAAAACAAAATATTAAATATAAACATTTATGTTTAACACATATTTATTTTTCGCATAAAAAGAAGTGAAATTGCACAAAACTAGATTTAAAATGATAATATAATAGTTAAGAATCTAAAACATTATAGTATGAAGTACCTAATACTTAATTGAATCGGTGAATGAAAGAACAGTACATCTCCAAAACTGCCATTTTAAGAAAATTAAAAAATTCAAATTAAACCAAAAACTAGTGATTTTTTTATATTTTCATTCATTGTGAAGTTGTACCTTTTGTGCTTCTTTATTAAATCACCAAATAAAATTTATTAAAACAAAGTCCAGAAAAAAAATACTTACAAAAATGTAACGTGTACATGTAGGGGAGGGTGGGGTAGATTTGGACATTATTTTTCAGTAGGGAATATGTTCAAGATATTTAAATAATTTATGACAAACAATGTATAAGTCAATAGTTGTATCTGTTGTTTTTGAATATTTATCGACGAAACTACGAATAAACCAGTGAAACATAGAAAAAATACAAATTTTCCTCAACAGTGAATTTGTTCAATTGTACCCCACCATGGGGCAGATTTTTACAGCTGTGGGGCACATTTGGACCATTCAGATTTTTCTACGGTTTACTAATCCTTATAAACAAAAAATAATATAATACACAAGGTACTTACGAATGATATTTATTGGTTATAACATGAACATATTTGACAAAGAATTTATTTAATGTTATAAGGGAAAAATGATGTATTGAACTTTATGTAAGACGCTTGACGAGATGTTCCCTTAGTTTCTAAAGGTATAGGAAGTTTTGACATAATACCAGCTCTGGATGTAGTGCTAATATCATTTTCAATATGATAATAAAAGCCACTGTTCAGTTTGTATCGTAAAAATTTGATTGTTAGTTCCTCATCCATTAGTTCTTCTTCACGGGCCACATAGTGAACAACCGTTTTGTTTGTTGCAAATTTTACCAAAACGAAGTCGGCTACAAGAAACTCTTCAACACCTAAAAGACTATTTATTGCCTCCTGATGACTGTGCACATCTATATCAGAATCTGAATTGTAATCAGACATCGTAGCGCATACGTCAAATTATGACGAACTAGAGTAAGATGATTTTTCTTTGGTTTTTTTAGCCTTCTTTTGTACAGGTTTTAATTTTTCACTATCAGTAATTTTTCTTTTTACAACTTTGACTCGTTTGTCATTCCTTTCCTTTTCTTCAGCTTCTACCCTATTCTTTTCTGGTGTACTGGTATATATGCATGACTTTCCCTTTTTTCTACCACGCCTATTCTGCTTTGGTTGCAATGTAGGAAATGGTCGAATATCTACTAATTTTGCACGTTTAGGAGATTGTGCTACTCCTAGTTAAGAAGCTTCGCTGAAAACATTTGTTAGCACCTCTTCCACTAAGTCCGTAATAAATTCAAGACATCTCTTTTCATAGGTATAGGTATATTCTGGAGCTGTCAAACTTGCAATGTCGTAGATCGTTATTACTTTGCCAGGGTTTGATTAAATGAACTCATTGAAGACTGACTTGCACCTAGCTTTGAACGGGCCGTAAACTCCAATGTCCAGTGCCTGCATCCTGTGTGTGCAGTGAGATGGAAAAGAAAGTATAACTATTCCATGCTCTCTGCAATAATTAATTGCATCAAGTGAAACATGAATCTCGTGGTCATCAACAAGTAAGAGAACAGGATTTTCACGAGTACTATGCATATGTTTGTGAATATGTTCCAATCATTTAATAAATACGGCTGTGGACATCCAGCCTGATTTTGTTGCATACTCAACTGCACCAGTAACACTTCCATATAAGTAATGATCTTTCATTCTTACTCGCAGATATACATAATATAATGATGGAATAGTTATATCGGTGGCAGTTATAATTCCACAGAACGTGACGAGCGTTCTTTTTTCTGATGACACACATTGACCCACTTGCTTCTTGACGTTCCTGATATAACTATTGGTGCTTGCATGACCGTAGAAATACCAGCTTCATCAGTATTAACGATTCGATCAGGAGAAAATTTATAATTGACCATAGCCTCGGAATAGTTTTGAAAAAAAAGTTCAACGTTGGCTTTATTAAAACCGGACGTACGGCAAAATTTCTATACGACAATTTTGGGTGGCGTTTCATGAATGAACGCATCTATTCGATTCCTGACATCTGATTTTCGTCCCAAGTAGCTGAATATTTCTTATTCAGTTTCTTCGCATATTGAAATGCTAATATTCTAGCATGTTTGTAGATAAGTCCAAAATTCGTTGATGAAGATTTATGTAGATATACTTCTAGCTCTACTTCTTCACTAGCAGTGAAAACTTGAGGAGATGAATATTTTGAAGTTGAAGATGATTCTGCACTAACAGAGTTATCATTTTCTGAATCTAACTCATTGGCTTACCTCTTTTTCTTGACATGAAAGTAAAGCGTAGATTTGTTTATGTCTGTTTATGTTTTGCGTTTATAATTACGTACCATTCTGTAAAAAAAAAATCAAAAAATAAGTTTGGAGCATAACTGAGTAGTTTTTTTAATCTTTAATGCTCATTTATATTAACGCTCCATTATAACAATGAGTTTTGATTTAAATCTATTAAATTTATAATATTATTTAATAAACAATACATTTTCTTGAAATGGGACACAATTGGACTAGTCCAAATCTGCCCCACCTGATTTGTCTAAATGTGCCCCACACTCGTTGTGTTTCTACATTAATTTTTATAGAGTCTAACGGATTGTCAAGAAACATTAACTTTAAGGTTATGGTTACCAATACACTACACTCTTCCAGTCAAAGATAAACAAACTGGGCTATTTACAAGAGAAAGATATTTACACTCTTATGAACACAAAACGTCAATACTACTTACAGTAGTCCTGCAGTAATTTTTCAGAATTTTTTCACCAATTAATATGACGTTTTACTTGAATTTCTACACTGACGCGGTAACGACTAACCAAAATACGTATGCTCTGAGACGCAACTAACTTCACGATGCTTTTAAAGCGGTAAAATTGAGATGTCCAAATGTAATCCACGTCCAAATGTTCCTCACCCAACTCTACTGTTCTTTCACTAAATTACAAAAAAAAACACAATTCTGAAACTACATATATTGGTTTTGTTTAGAAATATTTATTAACAATAAGACTAAGCGCCAAATAAAGTTACTGCCTATAGTCTTCTTATTAACAGGTTTTCCTTCAGTGCTGACATATTCATTGCCACGATCATATTGTCCACTTTTGTTTTGCTTCTAAGTATAAAATTGCATCTTTTGCTTTTTAATCGATCTCTGAGGAGAACGATCACTATCACTACTACTATAGTAAAATTCAATAAGCGGTACAGGAAAATATAAACATTAAATCGTGTCCGAACCGGTATGAACCGCCGATAACATCGCCAGCCGAAATAAAGATGGACATTCCGGTTAGTTTTTAAATATTTTTGAAGAACTGTTACTTGCATTTATGCATAAAATATTCATTAATTTTATAAACCGGA